CCCAAGGTCATCTAATCCAACCACCACCCCCTCCACCCCACCATGGCCACTAGCTGTGTCTCTCAGTGCCACATCTACACAGTTATTGAACACCTCCAGGGACGGTGAATCCACCACCTTCCTTGGCAGCCTGTTCCAGAATAGAGATGTGAGCAAACTGGCAGCTCGGTAAACCTTTGCACATGCAAAAATCTAACTTGCACATGCAGCCAAGACGGATTGCAGATGACCAAGTAAGATGAAAATATTGATAATAATTATATTGCACTTTCTGTGAAGGCTATAAAGGGTCCTTGTACAAACCACAGTCTGAAGCTTTACTGAGAATGATAACAAGAGAAAGGAGAATGACTTCTGAGTTTGTGAAATAAATTTAATCAGGCAAGTCTGAGCAGAAGAGATGATGCTCTCTGAATTGAAGGTTAGTTTCAGGCAATGAAATTCTTCAGTTCTGAAAGAAAGAAAAAAAAATATTAATACACTGTAAGACAGTAAAGACATCTCACAACTTGGAAATGTCAACAGACAAAGTCATTACCCTCTAAAATGTTCCCTGGAAGAATTTAAAATAATTAAAAATTTCATACCCCTGAAATCTTATTTCATCTATAAAGAAAGGGAAATTACATCCACACATACATACTACTTCTCCTGTGTTGGTGTGACCAGAAACCATTTTTTCAGAAATACGACACAGAATATGATAACAGCATATGCAAAGTTTTAGCTATTATTGAAAAGATCATTACAAATTTTACAGCTTCCCCCAAAGATTTAAGAGCTGTCAGGAAAATTCAGATGGAAAGAAAGGTGCTAATAAGAATTTTCCACTTATGTTTCCTGCCAAGTTTTCTTCCAGTGGGCACTTAGGTCTCTGCAAGGGAGGGCTTTGCTTGGAGCCAATCATTATGAAATAATGTAGAGGTGCATGGTAGTTCCTGTCTCCTCTCACTGGTTTTATGGCTGTGTCGTCAGTGGTGCTAGAGACATTCCAGGCCTTCTAGAAGGATACACCTTGGCTCTCAGGCATGTATATTCCAGTTACCTTCTGGCTGTCCATTTCCCTGACAGTCATATTCACACTTCCAGCAGAAGCAAGAACATTGGGGCCAGGCCAGGATAACCTATGAGAAAAACACAATGATGGATTATGCTCTTCTCTGAAGAGCAAGCAAGGTGATGATCAGCTACCATCTACATTTTTGGTCCTGTGTCCTTCAAACACGTAGAAGGAGATGGAATCTAGAATGAGGATCTCATGGTAACTTGATTGTTTGAATCCATTGCAAGTTACACTTTTGTCCATAAGAGTTTGGCTTTTTCTCCCCATATTTTAGGAACACTGCTCAAACATGGTTGTGTTTACAAAGGAGCAGCCACAGGTGATGCTGTCTCACATTCCTGCTAGGAATGAATGAATCCTCTGGAAATATTTTCAATAGAAATTAATACTTAAAAAAGCTTATATAAGAGTTCAGCATGAAACTCAGTACAGAAGGTAGAAAGAACTGACAGCCAATTAAATATACTGGAAACTAAAGGGAAATGTGGGGGTGGAAAAAAATGGAGAAATTTTGCTGTTCCCTTACTGTTGCCCTTGAGAAAATCATTCCATCCGGAATTTCACCAATGCCATATCCTTTGGAAGGTCTCAAAACCAACACTGTAGATGTATTTTTAAGGATAACCATGTCTGAAAGTTAAAGCCCTTTGGGAGAGAACAAAAGAAGGACTTCAAAGTTACAAAATGCTGAATCTGGCAATTTGTTTTTAATGGAAGTAAAAACCTGCACGGTTTTATACTTTAAAGTGAAATAAGAGAGAAATGTCACAAATAGAGTTCAATTTCTACCCATGGAATTGTGCCCCTGATTTAAAAAATTCCAGCCTAAATGCTTCCATCACATCTGAAAAATGTTTTACTGACCTCAAGCTCATTGTACAGCAGAGGTGCAACAGTATTGCTAGGACTGGGATCAAAGAACCACGGTTCTCAGAGCAGTAAGTTAGTTTGATGTGAACAATATCCAGCTGGCTGGTGTTTTGTAATCCAGCAAGTGCTAAAACCCCAATTTTGTGAGCTTTTGTTCAGGATGGATTTCTCCACGATGCATCAAAATCTATTTTGGTTACAGAGAAATGTCTGGCATCTCCCTCGCTACTGAGCATATACTTCATATGCCTTTAAATCAGACTTCAGTCTCATAGAATGACCAACCTGAACAGCAGCATTCAGCTAGATTTTGAGTGACTTCTATTGTTATGGCTTTCCTTTAGTCATGGAAATGTCACTGCATATCGCGCTGCATAAAATCGAGTATCTAGTTTTACACTGGACACGGGATAGAATTCTGAATGCTGCCACCAAACTGATGCATGTCTTAAGACATTTGTTAAGATCCGCCATAAAAGGTACCACTGATGCAATAAGTATCATTGTCTACATGCTGGGTTATTTTCAGATCTGAACAGTGGGAAACTGCAGTCTTGGATAATACTATGTCTGCAAGTTATTAGATTTTGACCAGTGAACTTACTGATATTCATCAAGGATGTTAAGATTAATGTTTATGATGTATTTCGGAGATGAAAGCTACACCAAAAACATGATTTATGATTTGGCTACTCAGTCAGCAGGGATAACTGATGGAAATAGCCTGAAACTGCTGTCAGGGCAAAGACTGATCAGCTTTGCTCGCCCCTGGCAGCGGTTCTCCCTAGTATGCTATGGTAGAGGATTGTTGGTGTCAACATCCATGGGGCTGGTTCGGTACCTAAATCTGGAGGCAGGGTGCTGAGCTGCTTGCTTTCAAATGTACTTGACGTAAATATCAATTAAATATAATGCTCAGGCAAAGGCAGTGCATGATATAGGGACAAAAGCATAGCTCAGAGTACCCCCAGGGAAACCAAGTATTGTCATGGTCTTACAAAGTCAGAATTAAAAGGTACTGAAACTCAAGTGTGGATAATGGAAACCTACTAATGTGAAACTGGAGCTTCACAAATCAATTAAGAATACAGTCATTGGTCCCTTTGGATTTAAGAACCTGGAAAACTGACATACAGAGCAGGGAAATGTTAGCTAATGGGAGTTGATAAATATCACAGAATCATAGAATCCTTAATATAAGCATGTGTTTGAACTCCTACCTCTCCCTGTGAGTGGAAAGTCTGGGTGATCTCGTCTGACTTATGAGTCAAAGCCTTACAGACAATTCTAAGTAAACACTAGACTGAGCATCTCTTAGAAAAAATACTCAGCAATTTTGGAAATCTAGTTTTCTTATCAAACTTGTCAACTCTAGTCTAGAGCTATCAAGACATAAAATAGCCTGGCTGATAGGGAAAAAGAGGCCATGCTTTATCTGTCCTATCTAACCCATCATGCAATAAATCCTGTCATGCAAGAGCTATATAGTCAAGAAGAAAGTAAGATCTGCACCCCATATCTTCCCTGTCCCATCTTAGTGCCCTTATCTGTGTGCTACTGACCATCTTCCTTAGTCATTCTCCCATACACTCCTCAATCCAGTAAGAGTTTTGATTAAGACATTCACTTGAAGCGTGGCTTACTGCAGAAATGTTCAGACAGACTAAAGCTCAGAGAGAGCAAAACTGATTGCAAGACACAGCACTGTTGGGTTAACACAGTCTTAATAATTCAACAGTCTTGGAAAACAAACAGCAAATTAAGTTTTTCTCCCATCTAGCTTCATTTGTCCAAATCTCACAGAATTATGAGGCATAATACCCATGATACATAATCTTTTTGCTCAAGAAACAGCTCCTGAAGTTTTTACATGAGGATAGAATTCTGTTATTTGAGGAGAGAAGCAGAAGAAGGATCAGGCAAATTTCCATCTGTTATTTACAGTTACCTCAATATTTTATGCTCTTTACAATTATCCGTGCCAATGGCAATTTACTAGTCTCTGTCTGGGCTGACTTTGGCTTTATCTCAGCTGTAGGAAAGTGAACTCCATGGCACTTTGTCATGCTAGGTTGCTTAGTTATCCACATTACCCTCATCTGAAATCTAAGGTAGTCAGACAAGTGTGCACCCAAGTCTCTTTCAAATGCAGTGAGGATGTAGAAAATGTAGCCCAAGACTCAACAGCTGGCAAAGGTTCCCACCTTTTGGGTGTATCCATTCCACTTCTGGAGGATTTTGGTGAGAAGTCTGGCATTATCTGCCTAAGCACAACATGGTAATGCTACATAAATGATTGATGTAGGTTATGATGCCTCTCAAGATGTTTCCCGCCCTTCTGCAAGTGTCACAGATATCTTTGCCAAGCAGATGTTCACCATTATTTACAGGCATGGAAAAATGTAGGATTCACACTAAAAGAAAAAATACAGAATGTGGAAGACATCTGAACTATTCTCTGTTTGCTTTGTCTTGCAAATATCTGGGAATTTCTTGGTGTTCTTTTTTTTTTTTTTTGTAGTCAGTTGGTGTGTGTTGGAGTGTAGAAGAATTCTGAGTCAGAGCTGGAACTGGAATACAGACATGTTCTGGAGGGACCTCACTGTTCAGCACCTCCAACCACTCAAAACACTATCTCGATTTTATGTAACAAAAACCAACATATTTCTGTGAAGCATTTAGAGGAAGAAAGATTTTTTTGATAATATTCCACTCCGTTTCTTGTTCCAGCGTGTTACTGTGCTCAATGTCTGTAGAAGATAAGACCTTACACCCTTCAAGATACCGTAGCCAAATCCATTGTCCTTCTAGTGATAATAATTTTTCTGTACCTGTAACCCAAGTTCACTTTCAGCAATGAATCTTTCAATTTCTATGAAATTTCTGGTCTTGTTTCTATCTACTATGAAATACACTGGTATGGGAAATGCTAAGTCATGGCCTGAAGCAATGATTGAGCACCTGGTGAAGGGACACAGCCCTGGGAGCACAGGTGAAAGCGATTCACCTGTGCAACTGGAAGCTTTATTTAAGGGCTTGCTGCCACAAGGGAAGGATCTCTACCTGAGGATTCCTCCTTTTGGAGTGTTTAGGAAGACTCTGATCCTTGGGATAGGTAAGCAAATCTTTCTTTTTTTAACTGCATTGTGACCATCACTATTTTGGGGGTAATTTAGGACTGGTTATCTGCCGTTGCCCTTTCTTACAGAACCTGTTGAAATTTTCCATGGAAACTGTTAGTAATAATAATCTGCTCTTGTCTGTTGTTGATACTGAAGGAAGACCTTTAGAACACAGACATTCACTCCCATCTTTTCTTCCTAAGGTTTTCATTATTATCAGAATAATCGCTGACCCAAGTAAATGTGTCTTTGAGGCAGTGTGAATAACTTAATTCTGAACTGATAAGGCTCCTCCCTGACTTTTCCTCTCTTGGAACTGTTACCAGAAAGATGGTCCCCATCTGACTTGGCAGTTCTGACTGGAATAACCTCAGATGTTCTCTGTACTCCAAGCAATTTAACCCATTTTCTTGTCTTCAACAGCACATTAACTCAAAGAACACCAAAGAGCAAAAATATTACTGGAGAAGGATAATCCCAACAAATCTTCAAGGGCTCACCATTCTTCTACCCCATCAGTAGATGCAGTACTGAGATAAGGTAAGCTTTATTCAGCAACCAACTACAAAATGTTTCTGTCTTGGTAGCTGATTAAGATTATCAAGTGAAGGGTGGTGGTTACTGTGTAGGGTTTCTCTTTCCCTCTCAAGACAAATGATACTGCTCAGCCTGCATCGATCTTCCTCCTTAAGAAAGAACCAGGTCTTTGTCAGCTTGGCTGCCCATCAACTTTTCTCTGGGACCCTGAAATGCTGTGATGGCTGAGGAGGAGTGGCAGTGCCAATATCTGGCTCCTTCCCACCTTGTCAGCCCATGAACACTGTTGCTCAGAACATTCTGTGCAGTTTCAGGAAATGGCAGTTCTGCTGAAGGTCAGGCTTTGTGAAACAGACACTCTTTCCCCCCCCTTTTTTTTTTTCCACTCCCTCCTCACCCAGTGCTTTCCCTGGGACTCTTCCAAGAACAACCCTGGTGCCATTCTCTCCCACCAAAGGCACAAAGAGCTGCTTTTACTGACCCACTGGCTGTTCAGAACGCAAAGAATTTAAACTAAAAGTGAGGCAGCACAACAGCCCATTGCAGGCAGGTCTGGATGAGCCACAGGAATAGAGTAAGAAGGGATTTAAGAGGCCACCTTCCCCTCTCCCCCAAGGCAATGTAACTATTTTTTCCTATACCACTTTATAGTGTTCCTGCTATTTATGCTTCTTTGGAGTACAGCAAGGTTTGGGTTTCTCCCCAGAATGATATTTAATGCCAAGATTTATCACTCCTTGGAACAAGCATGCCTGGTCCTTGTGCTTATTAAGAAAATATACTACCTTTAGCTGTGAAGTTTAAACTGAGAAGAAAGCACTATCTGAGTTGGTTTCAACTACACATTTAACCATTCCTGTTTGGAAAGAGAAGACTAACCTGCTATGAAAGCATTTTTGTTTATAAAACCTTGGTTGCCTACTGATGAGCTCAGGGCAGACGCAGGCTGAGTGAATGCTAGGCGTACTGCAGAGTGAATGGCATCGTTTTCAGGTACCTGCTGTAAGTTTAGAAAGGAAGCTTGAAAATCTGGAACTGCTGCATTCAAGTCCTCACAAAAATGTGAGTGCTCTTGCATTTGCACTCTTTCATGATTGCAGCAGCATCCCAGCATGACAAAACCCATCAGATATCTTTACCTCTGTGGCTAGTTGTAATACAGTTCAATCTGGTAATACTAATGTTGCACAGAAGTGCAAGAGAAACTGTCCTTTACATGTCATGCATATTATCCTCCATTATTTGTGTTCCACTTATGCTCTTTTCAACTTTCATGAATTTTTATTCCAACTAGAACGCTGTTCTAATGATTAGGAAGGGTCTTCTACTGTCTTTGGGACAAACTATGATCACAGTACCTGTTAACAGCCTTTCACAGTGGGTAGGGCAGTCTGTGGTGCTATGGGGATACCAGAACCATGGTACCAGAGCTTCCATGCTTTGGAGAGAGCTTTTGCTGGGTGCTGAAGATGTTCCCAACAGTGATGCTCTTTCTCCTATAACATGTGCAAAATGCCCAAAGAGCTCTGTTCTTTATGAGTAATGAACCTCTTCAAAGGGTAGTGAAGTGACCAGAAAGAATACTCTTCAAACAAAATAAGCCTGTCTTCTGTATCAAAATACCACCACCACTGGGGACCCAGTTGAGGTTTTCCTGTTGAGTGGATCCATGCAGTGTCACAGGGAAGTTAGCTGAGGGAAGGGCTTCCTTGCTAATTGAGAAATAACAGGGAAGATTTGATGATCTCTGGAGGTCCCTTACAACTCTGCAATTCTGTGAATGATGTGCTAAATTGAATTCTATTACTGTGGTGAGGTGCTGGAATAGGCTGCTCAGAGAGGTTGTGGGTGTTCCATTCCTGGAGGTGGTCAAGATCAGGTTGGATGGGGTGCTGGGCAACCTGGTCTGGTGCCAGATCTGGAGGTTGGTGGCCCTGTCTGTGGCAGGGGGATGGAACTTAATGCTCCTTGCGATTCCTTCCAACCCAGCCCATTCTATTATCTGTGCAGATTTAGGGTCTTCAAATGTGCATCAACCCACAACCACCAACCACAGCCCATGGGTTCCTGGGTGATTCATGCAGCATTCAGTGTTTTCCAGGACCATCACTCACTATGTATAAGCTTGTTATTCATCCTGAGACATGGCTAAATAAAAGGGCACCTGTGTTTTCTCCCTCTGCCAATACCACTTAAAAAAAAAATCTCACTGACATTATTCTCAGTGAGATCAAAACAGTTTTCACATCAAGGTCTCAGAAACAAAGGAAGCCTGTCATCTACAGGGTAAATATTAACAACCCTTTGGCTATTAGTAATCTAATTAAATGCTTATACAGAATATTTCCTGAGCACATGAAACCAGAGCACTACTTCTGTTGAGCACAATCCATGGGTATATTAGCTACTGTGAGAGAAAACAAAATGAAAAGAATTAAAAACAACCTCTAGTATTCTCCTCTTCAGGATGCAATCTCAATATTGAGATGCTGGATAGATTAAAGAGGTTGAATGATCTTAGAATCATAGAAGTATGGAATCATTAAGGCTGGAAGGGACCACTAAGATCATCTAGTTCACCCATCAAGCATCATAATAAGGCTTATTTCAGCCTAAGCAGCAGTTTCATAACATTAGGTGCAGATCATTGTTGGCTATAGCAGTAGAATCATTACAGTGTTCTCAATGTGTGGGGTTTTATTAGGGGACTTGAAACAAAAATTGGTTTGAATCTTTATATTTTTTGCCTTGAGGCTTAATTGTTATTCTGAAGTTTTGTTGGATTTGACCTGGAACAGCTTCAGACATGGCTCAATTCAAATGGAAACAGAACAGAAAAATGTGCTGGTTCCTCTCTCTGGACCTTACAAAGTTGATTTGGAATTAAGCTGCATGGAAATGGAAGCTCTGAGCTTCCACTTTGTGATGGAGCTTCAGAATTCTAGGCATGCTTCTGCCCAAGTCAGAGCAAAGCCCCAAATATTTCAAGGTATTACATGAAAGGCAAATTATCACAAATATGGATATCTTAGTTCACTGAAATATTTCAATTAAAAATAGTTCGTTTGCAACTTTAAATGCTACTGGTATGCAAAGTGGGAGGGAGGGGGACTAAAAAACAACTTTACAAAATAGAAGTTTACAGGATTCTGTTTGTAGATGTCCAGATGAAATGTTACAGAATTAAAACATTCTAATTATTTTCTTCTGATACGCACCACTGACCATTCTTCAGAAATGTATTGTTTTTGAGAACTTTTTCAACCAAGATTTATTCCACGCAAATTCCTCTGACCATTTATTGTGTTAATTATGCATATGTAAAGTGTCTGCCATGAAAAATCTCTTTATTAATCCTAAAGACGTGTGTGAGCACCAAGGGCTCAAAATGATTAACAGTGTAGATGAAGACCCATTTTGATTATACATGGCATTAGATATGGTGCATCGCTAACTTCAGGCGTGGAGCTAGCTCCATTAATTTATTGGGACTAACAGAACTCTCTTTCCATCATAAAGTTAGGCAGCATGTGATGACTGTTTTATCAAGGTGGAACAGGCTTAACTACAGGCTTAGAAGGCCTGAGCTCTGAGTTCTACTATAAGCATGATTGGTGAATTTGGGGTAAATACATGATACAGAGGTACATAGCTTTTTGGAACAAACTAAACTTAAATGCATGAACAATAATTAAAATATGTATGAAATTTGTAAGAGTTCTTTAGAGAAAAGTTGGGAGCACATCTGTATAATACAAGCAGCTTGCTGCACAGAGTATAACCTCCAGCTCAGTATCAAGTATAAGGAATATTAACACTATGAATGAGCTTTATGTTAGTTAAAGCTACTTGCTGACCTGGTAATCAAAAGAGAATATTATCTAGGAAGTTATAGATCCAAATAATGCTGCTGTTCTCAACCTCAGTCAGCAAAGTATATTTTTCTTTTTTACAATAAGTTCCTGATTTTAACTTGTAATAAAAATATCTACAAGCTTCCAGGGGGTTTAGTCAGCTCACGTTGGTACAACAAAAGCAGAGGAAGTGAAATCCTGGCATGATATACATAAGGCTCTTTTTAATATATGTTTTCCATACACAGGCTTATATTACAGAACAGCTAATCAATGGAAACATTGTGCAGGCATCTGTGGGTAAAATCTCAACCTTGATGTTGACACCTTTCAAATATTTATAGTGGTAATTGTATCAACAGCTTAGTGATCTTTCAGCCAAGTTACACACACATGCCCACGTTTTCACAGAGCACACAACGTGTTTTTTGCTCTGGGCTGAAGCATGTATCAGATTAGTATTAAGAATATATTTCTGAAAGCATTTATCTCAACTTCTAAACTGATAGACATGAGAAAATGGATGTGTACAATATCTGGCGGTCAGTGTTGAAAGCATGGTGCTGCTTCTGTGTCAGCATGACAAGACATCTGAGTATGGCTGAAGTTTTAGACACTGCAGAACAGCCAGGGTTGGAAGGGACCTTAGGGATCATGAATCTCCAACCCCCCTGCCATGTGCAGGGCCACCAACCTCCTCATTTAATGCTAGACCAGGCTGCCCAGGGCCCCATCCCATCTGGCCTTGAATACTTCTAGGGACGGGGCATCCACAACCTCTCTGGGCAGCCTGTTCCAGTACCTCACCACTCTCTCAAACTCAATCACTCCCTCACCACAAACTGGGTGTTTTCCTTTGCCTGCCATGCATCAAAGCACATATAGGCTACATCTAGATGACAGGATAACACTGCCAAGGGAATACTTCAGCTCCAAAGTAACATGCCCTTCTGGCCCCACTGCTGGCACTTGGCTCTGCCTTTTGTTTGCACACCACAGTGCTCACAACCTTTTGCTATTGCCTTCCTGTCAGCCTCAGCTCCCACCCTTAAAGCACAAAGGCAATGTTCCTCCACAGCTTGTCTTGTATGTTTGATGTGAAAATCCTATTTAGCATCTTCATATGGCAGTCTCTTGCTGGTGTGCCATACCTTACTCCAAAGTCATGAAGCTTCTCTTGATCACAGACTGGAACATGGAAAAAGAGATATTACAAGATCTCATTTGTCACCTGCTTCAGGTTTTTTTCTTCTTTTATTTTCCCCATTAGATAGAGAAGTGAATAAGGATCTAATTTACAGTATTATACATTTGTGTCAAATTGTAAAGTCTAGAAACGTCACTTGCAGACACAGGGAAACTGCTTGTGTGACACTGGTCCAACACTTTATGAGTGCAGTGAATTTAATGAGAATAGGCAGTTGCAAAGTGCAGACACTTCCATCAGTATTTTTCTTTTGTGCTACAGTTTTTCCCTCTTCAAATGCAGAATTCAGATCAATATCTCATTCATTGCCAAGGCAATTTCTCTAGTTAGATCTCATAGCTGAAATAACAGAGGTTTTTTAGGAGCTGCACTGGTGTTCTAAGAGACTTATAAAAGGCAGCCCTGTGCCCTGTCTGTAAATATTGGCACTCAAGCTGCTCTTGTTGGAATCAGTTGCCTTGTATACGTGTATGCTACAAAGATTTTCTGTTGCTGACAGAAAGAGATTACTGTTCTTCTACAGAATAAATAGAACTTTGTGGATTTCCTTCTTCCATCACTCCAGCCACTGCAGACATTCCTACCTCTGTAACAAAGATATATTCCTTGGTGTGGGCATTGTTCTTGTTCAGTAGAGAGTTGACAGATGCTCAGCAGAGTCTTTGCTCTGTGCTGAAGTTGATTGGTACATGCATCAAGGAGTGGTGTGTTGTTTACTTCAGGCTTGTGCTTCAAAAAAAGTCTTTGTGTTATTTATTTGGTAGCTATATTAAAATATTATGGTCCTTTGTGATAAATCTGGCATCTGTAGTTTCTCTGAAAAGAGCATAAATCTGTATTTGATTTTTTTCATCACATTGGAGTCATTCTCAAGAATCAGAACTTTGAATATACACAGAGAAAGTCATCTTGCTGTTTGCTTCTCATTTGTGAATTCTGAGAGCAGGACATCGGATGTATCAGTGTGTCCACACAGTACAAGATTGAGTCCACTTATTTGTGTTTGCTTGCTGCAGAATTCAAGCCAGCACTGCCATAAGACACTTCCCAAGAATGATAGGATGTGGAGAATCCATCACCACTTCTCATGGGAAATTCTCCCAAAGTTTAATTGTTTTTCATAAAAATGTGTCTGGCTTCCACTTTGCCATAGGAATGTCCATGTCCATAGGATTTGAGTGCTTTCTTTGTGTGAAAGAACATATCGACTGAAGTTAAGTCATCTCTTGACGTTTTGATTCAGTCTTCTGATAACCTAAGAACTTGCTTCATAAATCCCTCATTACAAATTATTTCATTTGGTCATGTAGTAAATTTTGATGCAATAAATTCCTCTTTTTCCCTTGACCTCTCTCCTATCTGATAATATCTGAACAAAAATTTGGATACTAGAAGCAGGCACAGTATTCCAATATCTGCCTAATTAATTATTTAAATGGAGGTAGAGTTGCATATTCCACTTATCTCCTCAAAGAGGGGAGCAGCAAAAATCTTTGAGTTTACACCACTCTTTAAGTGGAGCAAATAAGTCCTTTTTTGTCTTAATGAGCATTTGGGAAGGAGAAAATTTTACACAGGACAGTCTGTCCCCACGTGCAGGATTCTAGAGGAACCATGCCATGAGAAATTATGAGAAGCAGCATTCTTAATAGCTGGTGGTTGTTTAATCATCAGCGATGCCTCAGTGACACTGTGAGTAAAAGCTTGTCAGTGTCTCCATTATTTTTGTCTGTGTTTTGGAATGTTTCAGATTACATTAAGAAGAAAAATGCAGTTTTTTTTTTTTTTTTTTTTTTGCCAGACAGGATATAAATGGCTTTGCAATTTTCAGTAATGTTTTAACCCATATTGAATGTAAGAAAGAAGCATAACGTTCCCACACATGGGGTTAGCTTACTGTGATGAGGACAGTTTTACGGCCTTCTTTATTTCTTTGAAAAGCGATGAGAAAAAAATGAAGGTTTTAATTCTGTTATTTAAATGATGCCTGTTCAGCAGTCTGACTGCTGTTTGCCTGCACATCTCCTGGTAATCACAGAAATCTCCAGCAGGCAGGTGTCCAGCTCTTCAGGAAAATATCAGCCTACCAAATATTTAACAGTGGCATATTTTCTCCCAACTGTTCGTCAGCCATTCAAATAAAACATTTGATTATACCACAAGCTGCCAAAGTATCATTTAAATAAACTGCCTGGGGAGAAGAAGAGTGGAAAGACTGAAGTCGTAAAAGTACCTAAACTGCTGGAGGAAAAAAAAAAATGTGATGATCTTCATTTATTCATTTCTTTAGCAAAGAACAGTGCTCAATGCCTTTTAGATTTAGACAGAAGAAAAAGTCTTCTGTGATAGAGTTAACTTGCAAGCTTTTACAGGTACAACGATATACTTTTTTCTTTTATGTCTTTATGATATATTGTGACTTAGCTGATTGTTTTTCAATTCACGCTTGTATACATCTGTGTGCACGGAAATATGTTATTGTAAGGGATATACTGCCACGTTTTGGGCACGTTTTCAATATCATATTCACAAAATTGAGAGCATAGCGATACACACGCAGTTCTCAGTGGAGAGCTAGGAAAATGTGCCTTATGGAGACATGTCAGGCACTCGCTCTTCTGTAGTCCTCAAAAAGATCAAGGGGAGATATGATTTCAGTGTCAAAAGGACTGCACTACTTCTTTAAAGACAGATATCAGATATCAAAAGATTTTTTTAAGTAGCACAAAAGGGTTGAAAATTAAAGGCCAAGACAAGACACACAGCACAATTATCTAAGAATGGTTGAGTCTGAGGAAACAAATTGCCATGAGAAGTGCGTTCCATCACCTGAGTTGTCCCTCAGACACTGTCAGCTTGGCTGTGTGTAGAAGTGAGTGAGATGCTAAAGTACAGAGAAAGAGCAGTAACTACTTCCAGTCAGGGAGGTGCTGGAGTCACAGTCCCTGTTGACACTCAAGGATTGTGGAGATGTGGCACTGAGGGACATGGGTTGGTGGGCGTGAGCTCGTGGTTGAACTAGATGATCTTAGTGGTCTTTTCCAACATTAATGGTTCTATGATTCTAATCTTGGAGCACATAACAGCAAAGCTGGTCAATCAGTCTCTCTATCAAGCTTTCATCTTTCCCCAAATGTCCCATGAAATGGACAGTGCTGTTTACCACCCTCTGTGCTGATATTTCTTACTAACTCATTTTTAATATGTCGATGGACTCAAATTGTTTCCAGCAGAAAAAACCTTTCAGCCATATTATTTCTCACTGGACCTAATGGAATTTCACAGTTTCAGGACTTCTTACAAGAAAATTCCAGGCATACATGAGAGTTTAGGAAAGCAAGCAAATGCAAAGAGGAACATAATTATGTACATTTACACTCTTCTGTAAACATGGTTAATGGAAGAATTTGCCTACTCTCTTCTTTTTACCCTATGTTGTATTTAATGTGAACCTATACCCCTGCCTCATCTGGGATAGGGATTTGCACTGACTGCTCTTCTCCAAAACAGGGGGGTTGGATCTCAATGAGCTTTAAGGTCCCTTCCAACCTAAGCCATTCTATGATTCTACAGAAATATTAGCTGTGACCAAGCAAATGCAGGCACAAAGCCCTTTGGGTGGGATTTTCAAAAACTTCAGTTCTAAACTCTGCAGCTACTGAGGTCAGCAGAAATTTTACAGGAACAGAGCTAGAGGATTGCTAAATATCCCATTCCATACCTACCATAAAACAGACCCTAATCGAAGCGTAACTTCCAATAACTCATCTAAGCTACTGAGCTTAGGATCAGAAGTGGCAGCCTGTTACAGCAAATGGGTTAACATTTGCCAGAGCTTGGCTTTGTGGATAGTCATATATTGTTACTGTAGGCTCTCATTTCTGGTTTTCATTTACAACATTTTCCCTCTTTCAAATCGGTTACATTTTATTGACTCTATTTTGAGATTTTAGTATTCTGGATATTCTGAGGCATATTTTTAGGATATAATTCAACTCTGTTAAGTAGATACACATTTCCAACCATCATTAATAGGAGTGAAGCTCTGCAATTTTTTATTCTGTTCTGACACTACAATCTATAAAGATTTGGCTTTCTAAGCAGTAAGATGTATTTAAAAGCCTTTTAACACCAAATGGAATACATGTAAAGGTACATACGGGTTAATAAAATTTAAAAAAGACAGAGAAATAAGTTGTTTATATCTATGAGAAAACAAAGTATATATTGCGTCTTGTTTCCAGTGATGTTTTTTAAAGGAAATTCCCTTGACTGCTGCTAAAAATGAAGTTGCAGTAAGATATTATCTCCTTCTCTATCATTTGTGTGGTTGTTTTTTTTTTATGTTACCTACACATTGACATACCTACCTACATATGACAAATGGTTGGATATTAGGAAAAAATTTCTTCTTAGAATGAGTGGTGAGGCATTGGAACAGGCTGACCGGGGAGGTGGTGTAGTCATCATCCCTGGAGGTGTTCAAGAACTGTTGAAATGTGGCACTGAGGGACATGGTTAGTGGGCATGGTGAGGATGGGTTGGGGCTGGACTAGATGATCTTAGTGGTCTTTTCAAACCTTAATGATTCTGTGATTCTATGAGATGCATTCCTAGAAAGCACGTGCCTTTGAACAATTGTTTCCTGTAGGTCTTTCAAGATAGGAGCTACTGAAGATGATACCTGAGAAATGAAAACAAGATGTGAAGGCACCTTGTGAAACCTCATTAGCAGCTTCCTTATGAGCTCCTGCTCTGCTGGTCTGGACCCATAGAAAAGAGATTTTCTTATGAATCACAACAACACAAAAACAACTCAGAAAAATCCCCTTTCATTTATGGGGCTCGATTTTCATTATTTCCCATTGCAAAGGAAGCACAAGACTAAAACATCTGGTCCTGTCAATGGGCTTTCAGCCAAAGCTTCAACGTCTGCTGCTGAGCTGAAACAACAGCAGCCTAATCTCTGTATTGTCTTTAGCTTTTTCAAATTCTCATCTTTCTCAATGAGACAGTGGAAAGAAATCATCCCTCAGTGTTTTATTTCAGGCGTAGCACATTAAGCTGCAACCACACACCAACAAAAGATACTTTCCTTCCAAAATCCTGCCACTTCCTAAATGCAATAAAGTTTCAGACTGTGGCATTCATTAGAGCTGAGCAACTCGTTTTTCTCAGAAGATATTTTTTACCAAGGTCAGTTCAGCAGGAAGTGGTACCTTGTTTCTGAACAGCTGGGAAACACTCCTGGGGAATGTGGGAGAACAGCAAGAAACACAGAGGTCCTAGCAAAAATGAAGGAGTTTTGTGTCCAATGTATGGATGAGATCCAGGCAGAAATATAGCTCAGAGCTGGTCTGAAATGGATTCTGACAATTGAGTGTCTACACAGTGCCTGAACCAGGGAAGCCTTATAAATACATATAAGTTTACACTTCTGCAATGCCCCACTTGTCACTAGAGTGGAAAGTAATTGGTCTTGGCACTTCTAAGATCGTGTAGTCCATAATAGAATAGAAAAAACAATGTACTTGTTTGGGAGTTCTGTGGTTAATCTTGCAGAGAGCATGACATGATTGAGAGTAACCTATAGCAGTAAGAAATGACTTTTTCTTGTTAAAAATCCCAGCTCCCCAGCAGTTACAGTAATACTGAGGTAATTGCCTTTAAGCTCTGGTGGCAATTACCTTCCATGCCCTCTGAGCGTTGGAGCACTGAAAAGAACTTGTCTTGTTGCTTTAATGAGTGACATCCCTGTTTCAGCACTCTCCTTCAAAAAGCTATTACTGCTCCGGATGCTGGGAAGTAGTTCTTAAGACAAATGTGCCACAGCACACGTGGTAATCTCCCCCTCAGACTCAGACAAGGCCTTCTGGGGGTGAGTTTTCAGCAGACACATGAGAATAGACTTCCTTTCCTTTTCCCTTTTCTCCTCAGCTGGCAAACTAAGTTAAGTTGAACACCTCCATGCACCCAATGTAGCTCATCACAAAGCAGGCAAATTGCAGACAACCCATTCCATTTTTATTTTCTACATTTCTTTTTTTTCCTTACAGAATAGGAAATGCTACGAACAGGCCAAAACTGCATTAGTAGCTTCTTTGTTTGTCTCTGGACAACAATACCTAATAAGTTAAGCTTAGCCTATAGCAAAGCAGCCCCAGATGGCCAGGTCTGTTCTAAATAAGCCACATTTATGAGGCCAGGATGTCTAAAAGAAACACACTTCATAAAAGGAGAAAATGTGCAAGCCAGAAAAAGTTCAGAAAATCTCTCTTACAAAACTACTAGTGTTCAGGCTCTGTGTAAACACATCTATCAAAAACATACTTGGGTTTTGTTGGGATTTTTTTTTTCCTCCAAGCCTAGAAAGGCAATATTTTATCCAGATATTTATACATATGTTTCCATTCTTCCAAAAACGAAAAACCTCAAAGGTTCCCTTTACTGTATGTGGAAACATACTTGATAAAGAGATATTTGAGATCCTTAGCAGTAGGATATGCATTTAGTATTAATAAATTAGTTACTAAATTTATCTTTTTTCCAGAAAGAAAGGTCTCAAGGGTGTACTTACAAGCTTCCTGCTTCCAAGGGGGGGGAGTGCATCCCCTTTTAATCCATGCAGACCTCCAACCTAGATATCATGGCTTTGTAACATGGTGATTTAATCCTCTTTTCCTGGCCTTTGGCTTTCAGAGAAATCCCAGTCTGTTCTGAAACTGTCCTTTAAAAGTAAAGAAAACAAGCAAACAAATAAAGTTTAAAGGTTTGTTGGCACCAGTGAATAGCACACCCAATGATAGACAAAGATACCTTTCTCAGTTGTTGTCAGACCTCAGGAAACAGACTGAAAATATTCATCTGTTCCAATTCTTACTTTACTTGTTTCACGAGCAATAGAATAAGCAGTACCTGCTTCCCTACAGGTTTGGGTCTTGGAGTTGTTATCTCAAGAATAAGATGCAGTCTCGCTGCCCTTTTTCATGAGATTTTCCCCACACTCATCATAGAATCATGGTTTGGATTGGAAGGGACCTTTAAGGTCAGCTAGTTCCAACCCCCTGCTATAGGCGGGGACACCTCCCAGTAGACCAGGTTGTTCACGGCCCCATCCTGCCTGGTCTTGAGTGCTTCCAGGAAGGAAGCATCCACACAACCTCTCTGAGCAACCTGTTCCAGTGTCTCACCACCCTCACAACAAATAATTTCTTTCTGATATCTAAGTCTACCTCCTCCAGTTTAAAACCATTTTCCCTCATCCTGTCACTACATGCCCTTCTAAAAACATCCCTCCCCATCTTTTCTGTAGGTATTGGAAGGTCACTACAAGGTCTCTCTGGAACCTTCTCTTTTCCAGGCTGAAGAGCCCCAGCTCTCTCAGCCTATCCCTGTAGGGGAGGTTCGCCAGCCCTCTGATCATCTTTATGGACCTCCTCTGGACCACTCCAACAACTCAGTGTCCTTCTTCTGTTGAGGGCCCCAGAACTGGACACAGTACTCCAGGTGGGGTCTCATGAGAGCAGAGTAGAGGGACAGAATCACCTCATTTGACCTGCTGGTCACTCCTCTCTTGACGTAACCCAGGATACAGTTGGCCTTCTAAGCTGCGAGTGCACATTGCCAGCTCACGTTGAGTCTTCCATCAACTGACAATCCTAAATCCTTCTCCCCAGGGCTACTCTTGAGCCATCCTCTGCCCAAATTGCATTTCTGTTTGAGGTTACCCCAGCCCAGATGCAGGACCTTACACTTGGCCTTGTTGAACTTCATGAGGTTGGCATGGGCTCACATCTAAAGCTTGTCCATGTCCCTCTGAATGGCATCCTTTTCAATCTGTTGACTAGAAGGAGAAAGGGCATCCTCATGTTGCAGCCCATTTCTATGTTACATCTTGTACCTAGACTCTGATTTTCTCAACACAGAGGATTTTGTTCCTTTAGTTTGAGTCAACTGAGTTTGGAAAGACTGAAATGATCACAGAGTCCTGGATGACCATTAAATCTTTGTCTCTTCAATAAATTAAGCAAAAAACTCACATGGAGAATATGCTATTATTCAACAGAATGACCAGAGATAGCACAAATTCCTTTTTCTTCTATAGGAAGCAAAGAAAAGTTCATGTTTCTCAAAATTTGTGATTCCGTGTGTGTTGTTGAGAGGTAATAGCCTTAAGTTTCACAGGGAGATGTTCAGGTTGGATACTTGGAAACATTTCTGCTCAGAAAGAGTGGTGAGTTATTGGAACAGGATGCCCAGGGAGGTGGTGGAGTCACCATCCCTGAAGGTGTTCAAGAACCATAAAGATGTGGCACTGAGGGACATGGTTAGTGATTGCTTTGTTTGTTGGACTAAATGGACTTAATGGTCTTTTCCAAACTTAATGATTCCATGATTCAACTATTATCTTCGTCTATAAAACAATGTCCTCAACTTTACTTATTCTCCTAATCAGCAAAGGTGAACTTCACGTTTATCCATTACAGAATGTCCAAAGTCAAAGTGTGCTGTTTTAACAAGCATTTGATTAATCAGTGTTTATCAACATACTCAGGTGTTGCCAATCTCTGCCCAGCTTTAATTTTAGGCACCCTCTGCCTAAGTGCCATGAACTTCCCACATCACATAAAGGGAAAGTTAAATTACTCAGGAACAGACATCACAGAAGCCAACAATCTAAGCAGGGAAACATCAGAATTAGCCACCAAAGCCTCTAGAAGAGGCACAAGGCAGCCTCTTTCAAAGAGTAGATGCCTCTCCCTGTATTTGCACTATGAACCTCCTCCTGTAATGAGGTAGTAAACTGGGGACAGATCTCCAACATGTGGCAAGAAAGAGTCCAGGAGAAAACATCACCAAAACTCAATTTTTTCTCAAAACAGTTTCAATGTTTCTTTTTGCTGTGAAGCTGTGTTTAGGTATGCAGCTACTGGACACCTTAAAAGCTACCAGAAACAAGAAGCAAAACAAAACATTCCATTCTGAAAATAATTCCTCTGCTTAACCTGGAGCTAACCTTGTTTAAGCAGGGGTACAGCGGGAATGTTGCTGGGTTCTTCTTCCATGAGAAATTTAATGCACCTTCATGTCAGGCCAAACTGGGACAATTTTTCTTTTTAATTTCCACTTCAAGCAGCGAATTGAAAATCAATTCTCATCATAGATCTAATTGCCTGTCCTTGTTCTTTTACCCAGCACTCCAGAATATAGCGCAAAAACTGGGGTATAGAAAAAGAAAGCAGACTGTGGAAAATCTGCTACCTAATCGCTTACGTTGAGAGTACTAGTGGTAGGATGCAGAGCTTCCCTGAGCCTTACGCATCCTGCAACGTGCTGGCACACACTGTTCCAGTGTAGCTCTCAGAAAAGACCATTGTTAGAAAAATCACACAAGTTGGTGAAGCCCTGACACAGAATATCCAGAGAAGTTGTGGGTGTCCCATCCCTGGAGGCGTTCAAGGCCATGTTAGATAGGGTCCTGGGCAGTCTGAACTGGTGGGTGGTAACCAGCCCACAGCAGGGGGTTGGTGCTCAATTATCTTTAAGGTCTCTTCCAACCTAACTCATTCTATGATCACAGCTCCTTGATTTCCAGACACTTCACCTCACACAGAAATGCACAGATTTTTTTTTTCTGAAGGATATAAAGCTATAAAACACCTCTCCTGCAGCAAATCCACTACTCTGTGCCTTCTTTCCCAATATACTCAGTGGTACAGTCTCACTTTTTTTTTTTTTTCCCCAGTGTTTCAGGGTGCTGACTAAAACCATCTTGGCCACCTGGGCACTGCTGGCTCATGTTTAGCTGAGCATTGACCAACAATGCCAGGTTCATTTCTTCCACACAGTTTTCCAGCCACTCTTCAGCAAGCCTATGGCATTGTCTGTGGTTTTTGTGGCTGAACTGCAGGACCCAGCACTTGGCCTCATTGATTTTCATCCCACTGACCTCAGCCCAGCAATCCAGCCTGTCCAGATCTCTCTGTAATGCCATCATACCCCCAGGCAGATCAACACTTCTTCTCAGCTTAGTGTCATCTGCAAACTCACTGAGGGTGGGTGCACTCAATGCCCTCATCCAGGTCATCAGTAAAGACAGACATAAAATGCTACAAGATAACAAATGTTGAGTGCACAGATTACCGAGTCCAATTATTTCACCATGTTATGG